CCCAGCTAGTTTTTTTCTATTTTTAGGAGAGATGGGGTCTCACTCTTTCTCAGACTGGTCTTGAACTCCTGAGCTCAAGCCATCCACCCGCCTTGGCCTTCCAGAGTGCTGGGATTACATGCATGAGCCACCCGCCTGGCAGAAAGGTTTTGCGGATGTAGAGCTGATGAAACTTCTTTGCCGCCTTCTTTTATGCTACCTCAGAAAAAAATATAAGTTATAAGGACTCACCAATTTCAAAAGAGAGTGACCATGCTCTACAATTCTCTGTATCCCAGCAGCCTGTTTAAGTGGGTGTTTACTAAGAGCCCTCTGACTTTTTGACCTGGATGCTGATTAATTGATTCAAAAATTACTAATTACCAGGAATTATTTAGCACCAGGCAGGAAGGCAGAACTTAGCTGAGAGGGTAAGAGTTGCTTTTGCCTCTAAAAACCTTACCATCTCCATGTAGACCTTTACACATGTAATTTCAGTATGCAGAGCTAAGAGGTTCCTGATGTCAGCACAGCAGGCGCTGAGCCTGGGCCTTGCAGGGAAGTGGCTGGGTGGGGGGAAGGGAGCACACCTGAACAAAAAGTCCCTAGAGCCTCTGCCCAAAGGATTCTGATTCTGGAGATGTGGGTGGTAGAGGGGGCTTCCAGGTCTGTGTCTCTCCCAAACTCCCCAGGGACACAGATGTTGTTGGTTTGTGGACCAAAGTGTGAGAACCAAGGAACAAGGCTGATAGAGGGGTGAAAGCAGGTCCCACAGAATTCAAAGCTCAGGGAAGTGAAGGAACTTGTCGAGAGGCCATCACATAGCCAGGAAGACTGCCACCTGGCTCTGACTTCCAAAGTCCACGTAGCTGTTTACCACAATGGCACAGACATTGTGGGGTGCAGCTCCTTCTTTCCCTTATGCCCCCCTGAAATGGGATTATTTCTTCCTGAGAATTGGTTTAATCTGTCGGGTACTTCTGGAAAAGCATAAAGGAAAGACCTTTATGATCTGGTCCCTTTTGCTCCTCCACTGCCTGAGTGCCTGCCTTCCTCCACCAACAGCAAGAGCTACTTTGTCCCTGGGACCTTTGTTCTGAGTTGAAGTGAAAACATGGACTCTGGCCTTGAGGATCTCCCTGGCTGCATCCTGGGGCCCAAAGGTACATCACCACTTAACAGAAAAATGCTGAGAAATTGCCGACCAGCCCAGGGCCTTGAGGGTGCTGCTTTGCCTAGCACCGAAGAACAGGTTGATCTTCCTGGCAAGAAAAGAAGGCAGGGCGCCACTTGAAACCAAAAGGGAAACTCCGTGAGCTTGCCCAGCTGGATCTGAAATTGCCTGGGAGTGGTGACTCCTTTTTTCCTTCCACTTTCACTCTTATTGAATAGGAATGTCTTTAACTGCTATTCTGTGCCTGTCCCTGAATTTTAGGAGCAAATAATTTGAGTTTTATAGGTTCACAGATGAAGAGAAACTATCCCTCAAGGTGGATTAAACCCAGACCCTCATTCTTACCTAACTGGGATGGTTTAGTTTAGATGATGACACTTAGGATATTTGAGGTAAGGTTTAGACAAAATTTATTCTTTGGAGACAGAGTCTCACTCTCTCACCCTGGGTAGAGTGCTGTGGCATCATAGCTCACAGCAACCTCAAGCTCTTGGACTCAAGTGATCCTCTTGCCTCATCCTCCCTAGTAGCTGGGACTACAGGCACCCACCACAAGACCTGCTAGTTTTTTTAAATTTTTATTTATTTATATTAATTTTATTTTTATTTTTTGAGACAGAGTCTCACTTTGTCAACCTCAGTAGAGTGTCATGGTGTCACAGCTCACAACAATCTCAAACTCTTGGGCTCAAGCGATTCTCTTGCCTTGCCTCCCAAGTACCTGGGACTACAGGCGCCTGCCACAACGCCTGGCTATTTATAGAGATGGGGTCTCTCTTTGGCTCAGGCTGGTCTCCAACTCCCGAGCTCAGGCAATCTACCTGCCTTGGCCTCTCAGGATGCTAGGATTACAGGTATGAGCCACAACATCAGGCTAATTTTTCTATTTTTAGCAGAGATGGGGTCTTGCTCTTTCTCAGGCTGGTCCCCAACTCCTGAACTCAAGCAATCCACCCACTTGGGCTTCCCAGAGTGCTAGGATTACAACCCTCTGTAATCCCAGCAATGCACTGCCCTGGTCCCTAGACAAAATTGTGGATTTTGATTCCATGTTTGTTTTGGAACCTTAGAATAGGGTGGATCTATTTTGCATGAAGTACAGATGTGAATCTTTGGGGTTCAGAGGGTAAACTATGGTAGTCAGAACAGTGGTCCCCAAAGATGTCCACGACCTAATCCCCGGAATCTGTGAATGTATGCTACATGGCAAAGCGGAATTAAACTTGCTAATCATCTGAAGTTCATGTAGGTGGGCTGTGCTAGGTTATCTGAGTGGGCCAGTGGAAATTACCAGGGAGCTTAAAGGTGGAAGGGGCACAGGAGAAAGCTGAAGAGATGGCACAGAGGGCTGAGTCAATGTCGCTGGCAGCTTTGAAGACAGAGGTAGAGGCCCTCAAGCCTGCAATGTGGTTGGTCTCTAAAAGCTGGAGGAGGTAACAAAGCAGCTTCTCTCCTAGAGTCTCCAAATTGTCAAATAATAAATCTGTGTTGCTGTCAGCCACTAAGTTTATGGTAATTTGTAGCAAATGAATGTAAGACCTATCCTACAATGGACTGTTCTAGGATCTTTGACAAGTCACTTAATCTTTGAATTCCTCATTTCTCAAAATACAAACTGCTGGAGGACCGAATGTGACGAATAGGCAGACAGGCCTGGCACACAGGTGCTCGAATAAACGCGCATTTCTGGTTTCCCTTTTCCTTGCAGGTTGGGGAAAGGCGAGGTTGTAAAGCAGGAGGCGGAGTCAGCTGCCCTCCCTTTGACGTGGGCCGTTCCACGCCTCCCTGGGTAAGCCCCGCCCCTCAGCGCACCTGCTCTGACCCCCTGGCTCCTTATCCGCCTGTGCTACCTACAGCCCCGCCTCTTGACTGAAATCCCCCTTTAGAATACAAAAGCTCTTTAGAAGAGCCTGAGGGGAGGGTGGAGCCAGAGCCTCCACCTACAACGGGCTTCTGGAGATGAAAGAGCAGCGTAGAGAGACATCAGTATCTACACCGAGATCACCTTACTTCCCACTGCCAGACTCCGGAGCGGGTGTCCTGAAATGAGACACGCTCACTCAGAGAGGCCAGCCCACACCGCAGTCCCCCCTGCTCCCCACACACCCGAGACAAACATCTTTCCAACAGGCCACGCGCCCCATTCCTTAGTTAGTTGTGTTATGAGCTTTTATTTAAAAAGCACATTTAATACAAGTATAGTCTCACAGATACAAGTTTTCACTTTGTATGCTACAAAAGTCTTTGAACATTATTCTCTTTACAAAATGGAACCTTACAAAAATACTGACGATTTAATGTTTTTATACAGTTTTCTGTAGTTGCAGTTATTTCTTCCGTTATAAAACAAGGTCTACCACAGAACTACATTTTAGTTGATATTAAAAAAAAAAAACAATGAACTCAATGCTTTTTTAAGCAGCTAATGTAAATAACACAGGTCGAAACACAGTTTATCATAGTGGATATAGCTAAAATTGTTTCAGAAATAATATTTTACATAGTTAACTTTTAATGTTTTATACATTATTTATATAATATTTATATATAAAAATCATAGCTTGCTATTAAGTTGAAATGAAAGGACGGATTCTGCAGTGAGGGTGTGCATGTGGTTGATCCATGTGGTTACATGTAGCCCTTTGAAAGGTTCGAATCCAACCTCTAAAACCATTCCTTCCTTCCTCCTTTCCTCAAAGGTTCAGTAGAAGGGATCCCCATCTACTGCCTACAGGGGACCTTGCTTGAAGGACACTTATGGGTAGAGGATGAGGAAACTCTCTACGGAGATTTAACCCCATGTTCTGCCCAGCAGAACCTACCAAGAACCGCCCTAGGGGTCAACCCCAAGACAATAGTGCTTTCCCAGCTTCTTACAAGAGCAACTCCCACCAAGACTCTCAGCTCTGTTCCCTGGAAGGGTGGCCTCTCAAGCTTGAGACCGCCACTACTCTTGGCTCCTGACTTGGAGAAGTCAAAAGCTTGGTTCATTTTTTTCATTCTGCCCCCTTCTCTCTCTCATCTGTTGTACAGAAGGCTGCTTTCCCTCAGCCAGTGGCAGACCATGCCTTTGCTCATCCTCAGACCCTCACACCCAGCAAGGATGTCAAGGGAGAAAGCAGGAACCCGGGTCTAACCGTCACTAAGAGCGTGCAAGTGGCCGGTGATTGGTGTGCACACATCACCACCCTGCAGCTGGCATGTCACCGCCACAGGATGATGCGTCCAAAGAAGACAAAAGAGGGCTTGTGCCCTTGATTGCTCCTGAAATTGTGCTATTTGTGAAGTTCACTCATCCACAAAGAGTCTCCTAATCACTAAAGTGAGGGACTGTGGCCGTCGGCCTACGGGCGAGGAGGTGAGAAGGCCTTAGGACCCCTGCTTTGGAGTTGGGTTCTGACCACATGAGCAAACTTGCTCTTTGTGTATATTAAAAAAAAAAAAATCAAAACGCAACACAAAACTTTCTGAACCAAAGTCACAGTAGAGAACAGAATGGGCTGGACAGGGAGATGCAGAATGGGACCCCCACCCCCACCCCCACCCCATGGCTATTTTCTTGATTCAGTGCTATTTCTGGCACCATGTGCTACAAGGTGAATTTGTGCTGTTCTCACAGGCCTGGGGGCTCCTCGGGTCGCAAAGGCGACCGGCAGCCTCCTCTCAGATTATTTTAGTGTTTGTTCCTGAACGAGCCTGTGTCCACTACAACATGGACACTTCCGCTCACGGCACCTCCAGGACGCCGGCACCTGCTGTTGCTTTGTCATTGTTTCCACATAGGTGAATGCTACCTATTTTGGAAGGCCACAGAGTCAAATTTTTCTTTACAAAAAAAAAAAAAAACAACATCGGTCGGGCAAAAGTTTTTCCCTACATTCTACTGTCTGATGAGATTGGAGAGCAGCAAGAGCTTGCTGTCAGCAGTCACTTCACTAAGGCGGCGCCTACACCATGTTGTGGTGGTTGTTCCTGTCGATAATGTCCACAGGGGAAAGGATCTCCTTCCTGATGGCAGGAGCAGGCAGGGAGAGCGTGGTCTTAGTCTTGAAGAGATCAGACACGAAGAAAACCTGGAAGTACAAAGCAGAGATCTGAGTCAGTAAGGACATCTGGGCTCTGGGTAGAGGCAAAGGCAAGGGGGAGGTCACAGGAGCACAAGCGTAGGAAAGGGGGCCCCAGTTCATAGGGCTGTAACAGAGAAGACTGCTGAGATCAGATAGCCTGACTTCTATTGTACAGACAGGGAAACTGAGGCCCAGGAAGGGGCAGCGACATGCCCCCGGCGGCACATGCGTGGTGGGCGCGAACCCAGTCTTACGGGCGCTCAGTCCTGTGCCCCCTATCTGCCACCTGCACTTCCTTACTTCTCAAGGAGAATGAACAGCACGGAAAGATAAGTCTAAAAACAAAGGAAGCAAGTCATAATTAGTCCCGGGCACTAATGCACGCTACTTTCCCTTTCCCCACAAAGGAATCCTGGGTGTAACCAAAAAAGATCGGCCAACGTGAACTCCTATCAGCAGGAGCTGGAGCAAGGAAGCAGTGGTGACCACGCTTTCCTGAAAACCCAGTGGGATCAACCATCTGATGGGGGTCAAGGAGCCGGAGCCTCGTTAGGGAGGCAGTCAGCAGCTGACCCAGAGGAAAGGTCGGTGCAAAGTCTCCTATCGCTCATTCCCAGCGTCCTTCCTCCTCCTGGGCATGTGACCTCACCGAGTCTTTCTTAGAATCAGGGAGAAACATTTATTGAACACCCACTGGCCAGGGTGAGAGGGTGGCTCAGGCTTAGTTCCTGTCTCAACGAGTCTGTGATGAAAGATTCAAGAACCTGATGAGCTACTGGCGTAAGAAAAATTTATGCTTTATATTCAATGGCAAAATAAACACAGATATTCACTGGAGCCAGTTAGCGACAGGAGCTGGACTACGTGACCTTGAGTGGCAGCCATCAGTCATCTCACTGAACGGGAACCACTCGGCTGGGTTTTGAAACGGGGACTAAAACGCTCTCAAAGTTCCTATGTCCAAAAGCTTCCTGAATTGAAAAGTCTTCCTCCCGCAGACAGTTATCTGTTCACTACTAAAGAAAGTACCGGAACTTCATTCTAGCTACATTAAGGGTAAGAAAAGGAATGAAGTTTTTAATGAAACTTCATCAAAACTAAGGCTTTAGTCTAGGCACCTGTGGCTCAAGTGGCTAAGGCGCCAGCCACATACACCTAAGGTGGCGGGTTCCAATCCAGCCCGGGCTGGCCAAAACAACAATGATGGCTGCAACCAAAAAATAGCCAGGCGTTGTGGTGGGCGCCTGTGGTCCTAGCTACTTGGGAGGCTGAGGTAGGAGACTCGCTTGAGCCCAGGAGTTGGAGGTTGCTGTGAGCTGTGATGCCATAGCCCTCTACCCAGGGGGACAGCTTGAGGCTCTGTCTCAAAAAAAAAAAAAAAACTAAGGCTTTAGCACCTAGGGCCTGGCCACAGTCAGGATATGGATTCTGTGTTAAACCAATTTCCACGAGGTCCCTTCCGTGGTAACACAGGAATCAACAAGGTGCCACAAAAATCATGGAAAGAGGCTCGGCGCCCGTGGCTCAAGTGGCTAAGGCTCCAGCCACATACACCTGAGTTGGCGGGCTTGAATCCAGCTCAGGCCTGCCAAATAACGACAGCTGCAAACAAAAAATAGCCAGATGTTATGGTGGGTGCCGGTAGTTGCAGCTACTTGGGAGGTGGAGGCAAGAAAATCGCTTAAGCCCAGGAGTTGGAGGTTGCTGTGAGCTGTGATGTAACAGTACTCTACCCAGGGTACTCTGTCTCAAAAAGAAAAAAAAAAAAAATCACAGAAAAAAACTAGTGATACTGCTACCCCAGGAGAGGGGAATGGGATGGATACAAGACAAATGTGAAACAGAGACTTGCAGAGATGGTAACTGCGATTGTATCTTTTGAATTTTATACTTATTACCCTTAAAAAAAAAGTTAAAGAAAGCTAGGCTGTTTCTATGCTACTATAAGAAAATGAAAGGTTAGCCAAGAAATGTAACATCTTCCTACATTCGGAGCTTGAGGGCTATTGAATGTACCATTTTGCAAAGGAAAAAATTAAGCATTTCTCCCTTTCTTTTCTGAGGAGGTTTGAACAGCGACAACACTGGTACAGAAAGGTTTTTCTCCTAATCAGGAAATAAAAGACCTGTGGAAACCTCCAGGAGGAGGCTGTAGGTTCCCTTTTAGAAAACTCTTCACTAGTGGTGATGGGGGGGGAGGTTTTCAACTTCCTTTGCTACCTCCATAAGGAGATGCTAATGGACATGATTGGAGTTCATTGTGAAGATAATTAAACTTTTCACCTCTTCAATACCCCCACCCTGACCCCGACGGTTACACTCTCTCCAGCCATGGTCTTACAGCCTACTAAAATGATATTGTCATCTGACACCCTCATCTCTACTTCAAAATCATCCTCCCCTTTATCCCTCTGAGGACAAGGTCTTGATCCATCTCTCCATCACTGGCTTTCAAATCTACTGATTCCAACCCAGCAGCTAGAGTCATGAAATTAGAGTTCATACCGTCCTAATTTCTTAAAGAGCTTTCTCCCAGACTTCATACCATCTGCCAAGGGCAAATGGCGGGGTACAGCTCCCCCTCCCCAACAAAACACCGTTGCCTTCAATGTCCTTGCTTATTTCCCAACTTAATTTTCTGGGCTTCTGTCCACTACATTTAACTGCAAGATGAGAATAATATGGTTCAAGACAATAATGGACTTAAGACCTAAACCTTTGTACGTAACTCAATAAAAGGCATTCCATTCCCCAATGCCCTGGACGTCATAGCAATTACTGAGGCTGGAGCAGGTCGTGTTCTGCACGTCTCCAAAACTTTGCTTATCGGCCTTTCTTTCTAGATAGGAGGCTTCTTGAGAATGGAGCCCCAGCCCCAAACAACCTGTGTCATCCATCGTGTTTAGTTTAGCTTTGGGCCTTGCACAAACCAGGGGCTCAATAACTTTTTGTTGTTGAATTCCTAAAATTCTCTCTACTTACTAGGAAGCGAGCACCCTGGCCTCGGATCTTATCGACATCACAGCCCCTACAGACCTCAGGAGGAGCCACTGACTCAAACACTGTGCGCTCGCGAGCCAAGTGGCCAGATGAAAAGTTGAGCCAGGTCCATCCGAATCCCACTGTAAGCTGCATTTTGCTTTCAGTGTGGCTTGAGGTTACACAAACACTTTTGGGGGATCATGAACATAATCCTGTCAAGTCTCAAACAGGGCTCCGTCTTTTAAAACTTTACACAGCAGAACACAAAAAGAACAAGTGAAAGTAAAGACTTATAGGCTTGGAGCCGTTCCATTTCCTCCAGAAGATGATCTCTACCCAGAAAGAAAACGCAGAGGCCCAGGCTGGAAGGATTTATACAAATTAAGTCTCTGTCTCAGGTCTATGGGATAAATCCACTCCCAGCCCACATCCCTAACCCTACAGATCTTCTCTGCCATATGAAATAACACAGTACACAATAAATACAGTCGCAACAAATAAGAACACTACACCATTAGCACCAGGAAGAGCTCTAAGTTATAAATTTGCTTTTGATTCCATCTCTTTGAACTTTACAAATTACTTCTTTTTTTGTTTGTTTGTTTTTTCAGCTATTCAAGATGCCGAGGCAGAAGGATTGCTTGAACCTCAGAGATGAGCCTGGGCAACACAGCAAGGCCCCCCTCCCCCTAGTATAAAAAAAATTACTTGTTTTGAAAAACAAAGGAATGCAGTCAAATAAACACTTATTAGACTCCTGCTGTGTGTTAAGCTCCAAGAATATGAAGATAAATGTATTAACACATAAGACAGAGTCCTTTATCCTCAAGAGCTTACAGGCCCATAAGGGAGAGAGCCAGGTAAACAGACAAACAGACACTCACAATTCAGGGTCTTAAGGATTATGACAGAGGAAAGTCAGAGTGTTAAAGCAGCATAGAGAATGTGTCATCCAACCCAGATTGAAAGGGTGGGGAGTGAGCCTTAGAAGGCTTCTCTGGAAGGATATGTATTTGAGCTTAGCTTTGTAGGATAAGGAGGAGGTAGGCAGGTGGTGCATGCCAGGAATATTATGGGCAGAGAGAACAGCGTGTGCAAAGGCACAGAGTAAGGGGGTCTGGCACATTCAGGAGCTGTAGGAAGCTCTGCGTGGCTGGGGCAGGGAGGTCAATGAAGCTGGAAAGAAGAGGGATCCCTCAGATCTTGAAAAGCCACCTAGGCCCCGTTAAGCAGTTTAGACCTCATCCTTTTGGCCCTAGGACATCACCAGTAAGGCTTGAGCAGGGAAGCATCACATTGGAGAGACTTGCATTAAGTTCATGTTGATATCTAAAATGGACATGGAGGCTGAGACTGGTGGATTGCCTGAGCTTACAGGTTTGAGACCTGCCTCAGCCAGAGTGAGACCTCGTCTATAAAAATAGTCAGGCATTGTGGTGGGCACCTGCAGTCCCAGATACTCAGGAGGCTGAGGCAAGAAAATCGCTTGAGTCCAAGAGTTTGAGGTTGCTGTATAATACCATGGCACTCTACCAAGGGGGACAAAGTGAGACTCTGTCTCCAAAAATAAAAATAAAGAGATGGAGTCAGAAAAGGCTCCGTGAGCCTGAAGTTAGGGGTTGCGGATTCTAGGAGAGGGTGAGTCCTGAGCAGCAATCACGCAGGGAAGATAAAGAAGGAGGGAAGGGTTTGCATTGTCGCGGCTAGGACGGTGGCTGACAGAGGTGGTGTGCGCATGTGCAGGTGGGGGAGTGTGTGCGGCTAGGCTAGGACGGTGGCTGACAGAGGCTGACAGAGGGGGTGTGCGCATGTGCAGGTGGGGGAGTGTGTGCAGTCAGGCGACACTCTTCTCTCTAGCTCTGCTTTCAACTCTAGACATCTTTGCACCTGTTCCTAAAAACTCTTCAAATTTGGGTTACTACGCTAGGAGAAAAAGTCTAGTTCTACCTTCCTCCGTCCTGGAGCATTTCGGCTCCCTCTGCTATTGTCTTGGGGTGGTGATTCTGACCTTCCCCTGAGTCAGG